TAGGCAGGAAGTATAGGCGGGAGAAATAAAAGAACAGGTAGGCAGAAGGAGTCACTGCCAGCCGTCGCCAGGACAAGCAGAATGTAAAGATGCCGGTAAGCCATGAGCCATGTGGCAAGGTATAGATTTGTAGAAATGGGTTAATTTAAGCTATAAGAACAGTTAGCAAGAAGCCTACTACGGCCATACGGTTTGTAAGCAATATAAGTCTCTGTGTTTACTTGGTTGGGTCTGAGCGGCTGTGGTACTGACGGGTGAGAGAGATTTGTCCTGACTGTGGGCCAGGCAGGAAAACTCTAGCTACAGAGGTGACTCATCAGATAAGATGAAAAAGGACGAGCTGTGCTCGTGTGTGCTCAAGGATTGAGAACAGACTGTGATAGGTTTAGGTTGCTAGACTGACTGTGAGTCACTACAAAAGGGTGCCTGAATGCTACTCACAAGATGTTATTTGAGGAAGTGACATTTTCACTTAGATGGAAATTTAAACTTTTTTCACTTAACGGTTAACTTTTGTATTATTGAAATAAAGAGAGTAAAGCATTTAAAAGGCTCCAGAGGTAGAAACAGGTGATGAATATACATAGATATATTTCCAGGGTCTTCTTGGGTCTTTTGTTCAAGTCAGTGGCATGCCACCTAGTGAGATTATAAAAAGACTGCAACACACACACACACACACACACACACACACACACACACACACACACACACACACCTGCATCACATCTCTTTCTCAAAACTCACTCCATAACTGTTCCTACAGTCTGGAATGGCATAAAGAGAGGAACATAGTAAAAATGAGGAAAGTACCAAGAAAACGTCTTCGCCTGGCATTCGCCCCTCTGAGGAACTCTGAAACTCTTAGAACATATGCCTGCAACACAGCCTTATCTCTTACTTTCATGCATGTCTGGACAGGGAGAGGGCTGTAGAGAGGGTTGAAGGGAAAAGCCAGCTTTCCTTTAAAGCTTAGTGTCAGGTGACTTGTTGGGAGTTTCTAACTTCATGTGACAGCTATTGTGGGGAACTGGTCATGGGCAAGGGACTGTGTTATCAGGTATGCAAAGCTGTTAGCCTCAGATCCTGGCTTTAAATGGAACTGACCTCAGAGTAGGGATATGTGCAACTTTTCAAGGAAGTAATGTCCATAGAGGAAATGGGAAGAGATAGCCAGATCCAAATGTAGCAACCTAGGAAAGTAAGTACTGACTCAGAGACCATGACAAAGGGCAGGTAATTGAACACAAAGCCTCTTGCCATACAATCCACAATTTTGTAAATGGCATAAGTTTGATCTGGGAGAATAAGTTGATGCAGCAGTGTAGATATGTTATAGGATTTATGGGCTTTCAAATACGTTCAGTCCCCAAATGGCAACACACTGTGTACATTATTAATAAAGCATGTATGTCAATTTAATCAAGAGTAAGGAAACAATGAATCGGTGAGTGTCTTTAGACTAACTTAAC